ATCACCAAGCGCGAAGCGCCGTGAGGTATTCGGCGAGTCGCATGAAGGGTGCGCTGCATCCTGCTAAGGGTGTTCGGCATCTTGTGATTACTTCCTTGCGTACGGATGACAACTGCGTATGACTTAATTAATTTTATGGTGCTTTCACTTCCAGAGACAATTGTAAGCACTGTGTAACTGCCTCGAGGGTGCTTGACCAATTTAACACAACGTGCTGCAATTATCCCCCTTGAGCGGAGTGAGGGTTCTCGACTCCTCACAACATGATCCACTCGACCACCATTATGGTTACCGGGGGGGGATTTCGTGTTTGCTCTAGCTTTGTCGTCAGAGGGGTGTGTAGGCTAGCGGTGTGTGCACATGGACCCCCCTCGCTGGGTTGCCGCCTGCGCTGCGTAGGACTCGTCCTCGAAGTTTGGCGTACAGCCCTGCCGTTGGGCGTAACAGGTCCTTCTCTTGTTTGTGACCTTTGTTCCGCACTCTGCTGTTGTCCTCTTTGTGCGCTTAACTGCTTGGATCCTGCAGAACGAGGTGGCCACTGTGAAGGCCCCGGCGTTTGAAGCGGCAGTACATCAGGCCACGGAGTCAAACAAGTGAGTTGTTGTTGACGTTGAGTGCGAGGTGAATGTACAAGCAGTTGGTACAGTATGGCTTAATGTTGGCGGATGATCACACAAATAAGGTCGTGCACCGGGCAGGGGTATTTTTGTGCGAGATGGGAAAGGATTTGTTGAGCGCGTGCGCACTTTCTCTTCTTGTCCCCACGCGTTGCATTTTGTTTATTGAGGTGTTGGCTGTGGTGGACTTGGGGTTTCCCTCGCCATGGTGCACGAGTACGGCAAGGGCCGTGTACAGGGCCGCACGGACCCCTGCTGCCTCGTTTGCTCGCCGTCAGAGGAAACACATTCAACTCTCATGTTGTAGGACCTCCGTACCTCCGTATTCGTCGTTCGTTGTTCCCTTGTCGCCAACCAACCTTTGTGTCTACGCGCAAAGTGTCATGTCCCCCCCCCCGCCTCCTCTTTTATTTTTCTCTCTCAAGGTTTTGCCCGGATTGCAAGTACAACGTGGTACAGGCGCACGACATTTTGATGGGAAAGATCGGTCTTGAGGGCTCTGACAACGAAGAGGAATACGACGAGGTGCTTTGACGCAGCAGCAGCAGCAGGCGTGGTGTTTTTACGTCGCGTCCTCGCGGCTCTCGTGTTGTACCCGACGCCATGTTGTTGTGACATGAGTTGGACCATCGTGCCCCCTGCGCTAAAGAGGTGTACGCCGAGAAAGCTTTCGCCCCCATCCCTCCCAGATCATACCGTGCGTGTGTGGGAGGGGAGAGTTGCCTGCGAAGATGAAAATATCAACTCCTACGCTGAGCTCCAGAGCTGCTCGAAGGCTCGGGGAGCGGGGGGGCATGCCCGAATCCCGCTTTGCCATTGGAGAGCATTATATTCGACAGCAGGATTAGAAGTGTTTGTGCCCTTTGCCGCAGCCTTCCCTCCATCCAAGCATGAGGTTGTTGCCGTGTGACACATATCCGTGCGGCGGTGTGTCAAGAGAAGAGAGGCACTCTCAGCAAGACTATTGTAGTGAACCGAAACGCAACTGCGACCGACCTCTTCCCCCCCTTTCCTTCCTCGCTCGCGCGCCCACGCTCTCAGGAAATTTTCCTGCCTATCGAGGACCGAGTTTTCGAAGGAGAAAGCGGCACCTCGGAGGACAAGATGCTCATCTGCGATGTCATGGATGTGGAGGATCTCATCTACTTTCACGAGGTAAGTAGGCTGTGGGTCTTGTCGTCGTGCGATTTCTTGTTTGGAGGCAGCGGTGGCAGAGCGGCGACAGCTGCGGCACGGGCAGCCCGGCTTAGGGGGGGGGGAAGGGTAGCCCTGTCTCGAAGTACCTTCGATTTGTGCTTTCCAAGACCCTATATAGGTTTCAGAGTAGATTTCTACTGCTGTGCGAATACTGAATTGGCTGCTTTTT